TCTTCATAGATAGATTTCAGAGATAAGATAATGGAACATGATTCAGATGATCTCCTTGCTTGCAACCATCATCATTCACCCTCCCTTCCCACTCCTTGAGAGTTTACAAGAGAAGGAATTCCTGCATAGAGTTGCAAGGATAGCTGCCAAAATAGCCTGTGAGAACATATTTACTTACATGACTTTTTCTAGATGGAGTTGGTACACCATGTGGTTAGTGTTTACAGGTCCGGTCCATAGGACCGAAAAAAACCGGTGGACCGGACTGAACCGGACCATGGACCGGTCTTTTTTTCGGTTGCAGTTGCCCCAATTTGGGGTTGGTCCGGTTGCTGGTTGCCTCATTTCAAAAATCTTATAAAACCGTTCAAAGACCGGTTTAAATCGGTTGCAACCGGTTAAACGGTTACATGCGTTACATACCCTTGTAACCACGTTTATTACCTTTAATTGGGTTTTTGTTTCATCAAAAATGGTTAAGAACTGAGAAAGATATAACCAAATTCATTTTGGCACAAATACTTGTTTGTGCAACTTGTACCAGAATGACTTTAATTCTAACTCACTCAAACTTTCATTATTTTGCTTGATTCAATTTTTGGATATTGACATTTTAAGTATGAAAATATACTCACCATCTATCAATATATGGTATGCATCAAATAATTTACAGTTGCCACATTACATTTTGCCCAAGTCTTTATGAGATGTAATTCGGTTTCAGTCATAACTATGTCAAGTGTTCATTAATGTTCTTAAGAATTGGTAGAATAATGGGTATTTATATGTTTTACTATGATATATAACCAGTTCATTTTTTAGAGCAATAATAATTGAGATATAAATGGTTTATATTGGTATAATAAATTTTACGCAAAAAGACCGGTCTGAATCAGTTTGAACATGGTCCATGGACCGCAAAAGACCGGTCCTAGGTGGTTCGGTTCGGTTCCCTCAATATCTGGGTCGGTCCTAGACAGGTTGCGGTCCACGGTTGCCTGTTTTCAGGGCAAAAAACCGGACTGAACCGGACCTGCGAACACTACACATGGTCATGCCTGTGTCAAGTCATCAACCGCAATTTTGTGCTCTTTCCAAGTGAAAACATGTAAGCAAGGTGTTGGAGTCGCACATTGCATCCTTGTGATGGGCTTCTGACACTGTGAGATTTCAGAATGTGTGAGAAGCTCCCCTGAAATTTTGACATACAAAGTGTGTTGGTGATCTGTTTCTTGTGTGATGATTGGACATGTATGTGGGTCTGGCAGCAGAAGTCTGAGGGTATTGCAAGCAGGTAGGTAAAGGTGGCTGTGAATTGATGATGAATTATGCACCTTATCTGTGGAATCACCAGCATCACACACATAATTGGGCCTTGCCAGCAATGCATTCCACCAATGTTCCACACAATGGTGTAATCTTCTATTCAAAATGTGTGTTCCTGGAAATTTTTCATTTGCTACCATCCTTTTGAATTGATCCATGGAGACTCAGGATGTCTTTTAAACAATGCCTAAAGTATAGCATGATAGCAAATTAATTTACACTGGGTATAACTTGAAAGGTCCTCAATAAAAGTACATTTTGCATAGAGCAAGAAAGGTGTGGGGTCTCAGATCCTTATATAAATAGGACCTCTGTTTATTTCTTTGGAATAGTGTTACTAGGCATGAGAAGTGCCCAATTCTTGACTTTGCTTAGAATAATATTTTTCTAAGTAGTTTACCAGAACTGTACTGGCTGCCTTGTCTGTCATCTTTTCTTTTTCATGTTTTAAGTATTCTGTAAGATACAAATTCCTAGTCTCTTCTGCAGAGAATTGATTGTCCACGGGTAAGGCATACAATAGGACTTTATATCCCTCTTCACTGTCTTCTTTGAAAGCTATCACTACTTCTCATTGATCTTTCTCAATCAAATCATCAAGGGTTGAAAAACTTTCTCTGTTTTCAGTTGAAGATCCTCTTCAGTGTGCATTTTCATCATTACTGGTGGTTTTCCTCTGTCAAAGGTGGGTAACATTGCCCTTCTGCCAGAGTTTGGATCTGTTATGGTCACTGTCTGTCCCCCGTCCATAGAGTTTATGACATGCTCCCTGTTAACACGTCAAAGGGCCTGCCCAATAGTACCTTATAGGCTGGGTCCTGTATTACATGCACTTGCAGGGAAATCATAATTCCTCCAAAGTTAAATGGAACATTTTTGGCAAGACAAGGGTCTTTTCCACAGTTCTTCGCACCTTGCATTTGAATGGTTATATCAGGATCCCAAGGGACTGCTAATTTCTTAGCAACATCCGCATCCATTGATACAATTTGTGAGCCACCATCCAACAAGCTCTCTACTTGACCAAACTTATTAATTACTGGATAAATCGATTTTAAAGCATGGGACTCTTTAGATACGAAAATCTCCTTTGGAGTTTATGATGAGCCACGCCTTGCAAGTATTGCTCAATAGGATCTGTCAGGACTATAGAAGCTTTCGGTATTACTCCATCATCCTCTGTTGTGCACATAAAAGTGGCATTGATGTCCAAGTCATTTATATTGATTTTTCCGAAATTAAAATTATCTTCTTGCTTTTTAATTGGAGGTGTGTCTTTATCAACCTCCTCAACTATAGTCACTTTTCGATTGTGAGCAGTCTGAATTGGCACCTTCTTTTTAGCTAAGGCCTTGAACAATTCTTGCCTTACTTCAGGAGAAATGCTCATAAGTACTTCCACACTTAGAGTAACAGGTGCTTTACAGGCTGTTCAACACTTGTTCCTCATTTTTAACATTTTCTATTGGAGCTAAATGCTTGTATGCTATCGGGCGCTTCTCATAGAATGGCACTGGATCATACTCTTCAACCGATTCTTTCGTGTTACTATTTAAGTCTGGGATACTGAGATATGGTAATTGTTTGTGCCTTGGATTAG